TGAACACATGATTGAACAATAATTCATATCCGGTTGTATTCAAGTTTTTTACTCGATCCGAGCGATATATTTGAAATTCGTTGCTTCATCTACGAACACGTAATCGTAGAATAATTTATATTAAGATTCTATTCAACTGTTTTCCTGGATTCAAAATATCTATTTGACGTTGATCAGATGATCGATGAACACATGATGAAAGAATAATTCGTACGAACATTGTATTCAACAATTTGGTCTATTGGAACTATATGTTTGAAGTTGATTATATGATGGAGGTACTCATGATAAAAGAATTATTCGTAGCAAGATTGTATTCAAGTATTTTGCTCGATTCAAAGCAGATATTTGAAGTTCATTACATGATGGAGGAACACACGATAGAAGAATAATTTAGACAAAGACTTTATTCAACTGTTTTGCTCGAGTCAATCCTGATATTTGAACTTCATTAGATGATGGAGGAGCACATGATGGAAGAATAATTCATAATAAGATTCTATTGAACTATCTTGCTCGATTGAAAGTATGCATGTGAAGTTTATTAGATGATTGGGGAACACGTGATGGAAGAATAATTCATATCAGATTCTATTCAAATATTTTGCTGGAGTCGAAGCATGTATGTGAAGTTCATTACATGATGAGCGAACACAGGATTGAAGAATAATGCGTTAAAGGATTCTATTCGAATAGTTTGCTCGATTGGAAGCATAGATTTGAAGGGCATCGCATGACGAGGAACAGATGCTGGAAGAAGTATTTATACAAAGATGGTATTGAACTATGTTGCTGGTTTGAATGGTGATATTGAAGTTCGTTGTATGATGGAGGGAGACATTATGGAAGAATAATTGATAGCATATTTTATTCAAATGTCTTGTTGAATTGAAAGCATATATTTGACGTTCATTACACGATGGTAGAACCGAGGATGGAAGAATAATTCATATCAGGATTCTATTTAACTATTTTGGTTGGTATATAGCTCATAGTCTAAGTTCATTACATGGTTGATGAAAACATGATACAAGAATAATTTTTACAAAGATTCTATTCAACCATTTTGCTCAATTGGAACGATAGATTTGATGTTCATTACATGGTCGATGAACACATGGTGGAAGAATAATTTATATTAAGATTCTATTTAACGATTTGGCTCGATCTAATACAGATCTTTCAAGTCTCCTACATAATCGATGAGCACGTCATGGAAGAATATTTCATACTAAGATTCTCTCCAGCTATTTTGCCGGATTAATCGCAGATATTCAAAATTCATTAGATGATGGAGGAACACATGATGAAAGAATAATTTATACAAATCTTCTAGTCCACTGTTTCGCTCGATTCAATGCACATATTTGAAGTTCATTACATGATGGAACAACAGACGATGGAAGAATAATTGAGACGAAGATTCTATTCAACCATATTGCTCGATTGTATGGATGTGTGTGAAGTCCATTACAGAATCAACGTACACATGATAGAAGAAGAATTGATAGTAGATTCTCTGGAATTACTTTGCTCGATGCAATGGAGATATTTTCAGTTCATTGCATCATGGAGTAACACATGATAGAAGAATAATTCAGAAGAAGATTGTATTTAACTATTTTGCTCGATTTGAAGGATATATTTGAACTAGATTGCATGATGGAGGAACACCTGATGGAAGAATAATTTATACAAAGGTTCTATTCAACTATTTCGGTCGATTCGAACCATATATTTGAAGTTCATTACATGATGGGGGAATACATGATGGACGAAGAATTCATACTAAGATTCTATTCAACTATTTTGCTCGATTCAAAGCATCCATTTGAAGTTCATTATATGATAGAGGAACACCTGATGGAAGAATGATTCATAGCAGATTCAATTGAACTATTTTGCTCGATTCGAAGCATATATTTGAAGTTCAATGTATGATGGAGGAATACATGATCGAAGAATAATTCATACGAAGACTGTATTCCACTAATTTCCTCGATTTGAACTATATATTTGAAGTTCCTTACATGACGGTGGAACAGATAATGGAAGAATAATTGATTTCAGATTCTATTCAACTATCTTGCTGGATTCGAACTATATCTTTGAAGTTGATTACATGATCGATGAACACATGATGGAAGAATAATTCATAGCAGATTCTATTCAACTAATTTGCCCGATTGAAAGCATGTATGTGAAGTTCCTGACATGATGGTGGAATACATAATGGAAGAACAATTCATATCAGATTCTGTTCAACTATTTTGCTGGATTCGAACTATATCTTTGAAGGTGATTTCATGATCGATGAGCATAGAATGGAAGAATAATTCATATCAGATTCTATTCAACTATTTTGCTCGATTCGAAGAATGGATGTGAAGTTTATTGCATGATGCAGGAACACATGATGAAAGAATAATTTATACGAAGATTCTATTCCACTAATTTCCTCGATTCAAAGCATCTATTTGAAGTTCGTACATGATGGAGAACCACATGATGAAAGAATAATTTATACAAAGATTCTATTCAACTGTTTTGCCCCAGTCAATGTAGATATTTGAAGGTCATTACGTTATGGAGGAACACATGAAGGAAGATTAGTTCATAAGAAGATTCTATTCCACTAATTTCCGCGATTCGAAGTATATATTTGAGGTTCATTACATGATGGTGGAACACATGATGGAAGAATAATTTCTATCAGATTGTATTGAAGTATTTTGCTGGATTCAAAGCATGTATTTGAAGTTCATTCCATCATAGAGAAACATAGGAGGGAAGAATCATTTATATTAAGATTCTATTCAAGTATTTTGCTTGATTGGAAGCATATATTTGAAGCTGATCACATAATGGTGAAAACATGATGGAAGAATAATTTATACAAAGATTCTAGCGAACTATTTTGCTCGATTTGAAGGATATATTTGAAGTTCATTACATGATGGAGGTACACATTATGGAAGAATAATTCATACCAGATTCTAATCAACTATTTTGCTCGATTCGAATTATATATTTGAAGTTTATTAGATGATCGATGAATACATAATAGAAGAATAATTCATATTAAGATTCTATTCAACTATTTTGCGGGATCGGAAGCATATATTTGAAGTTCATTACATGATTGAGGAACTGATGATGGAGGAATAATTCATAGCAAGATTCTATTCAAGTAGTTTGCTTGATAGGAAGTATATATAGGAAGTTCCTTCCATTATTGCAAAACACGCGACAAATGAGTAAATACGAAGATTTTGTTTAGATATTCTGCGTACTGGAGGGAACTTCTGGCGACTTTGGTCTAGATGTGGACAGAATGACAACTGAACAACGGATAGATTTTTGTTCGAATAGCGTATTTTTTTAGTTGATGTTCTTGGTATTGTGTTAGTTGAAGTATATTCTTATTGTAGATGAATGAAGCGCACGTTTGTTGTGGAAATGAGCGAGAAAGCCATTGTCTTTGTGACTTCTAAATGCTCTTGCTTCTGCCATGAAGAGTGCCACCAACATGAAGAGGCCGACGAAATAAAGGATTTTGATGATCTTTTGCATTGTTATTTGTTGCTGTTGAACGGTTGAAGGTGAGAAAGTATGTAAATAGGATGGTCCTACAGCCGTGCTTGATCTTTATATATCTGTAGATTTCCAAGAGAGTGAGAAGGAGATACACATGTTTTTTTTTCATAGAGGGAGAGAGACATTTTTTTTTTCGCAGAGAGGTGAGACAGAGTCAATATTTTGTTCGTAAGGAAAGAGCAAGAGTATTTGATTTTTCTCTATGGAGGAAAGAATAATCGGAATGGCTGGGAATGGATCGGAATGATGGGAATGGATGAGAATGGATGAGAATGGATGAGAATGGATAGGAATGGGTGGGAATGGATAGGATACGGTCATCAGCGTGAGGGAAGATATTCTTGTGTCCTCATCTCCTATTATTTGTATATATCCTTGGGTCATCGTCTCCTATTATATGAGGGTACCCTTAGGTCCTCATCTGCTATTATATGAGGGTACTCTTGGGTCCTCATCTCCTACTTTTTGGAGATACCCTTTGCTTCTCATGTCCTATTATATGAGTAGTGGTGCAACAAATCCTTATTTTTTGTACAACGATTGAAAATTTTCTGAATGAAAACTCACGGAATCCAACCAAATCTTCGTGTCAATTACAATCAGTTTTAATCGCTCTTTCTGATACTGATATTTATTTACTAAATCCCTACCAAATCTTGGATAGGATTTGGTGGGTGTGGGTGTATGAGAAGAGGAACACCCACACCCACACCCACCCACACCCACACCCACACCTACACCCACCCACGCCCACACACCCAGCCACCCACACCCACACCCACACCCACACCCACCCACACCCCACACCCACACCCACACCCACACACCCACACCCACCCACACCCACACCCATACCCACACCCACCCACACCCACACCCACCCACACCCCCACACCCTGGGTATGTGTGTGGGCGGGTGTGGGTGTGTAGGTGGGGTGTGGGTATGGAGTATCCTTCTTTTTACACCCACCCTGATGCCCACACTCCACCCACAATCTACACCCGCACTCCATACCCACACCTCACCGACAGTCACAGCCACGGCCACACTCCACCCACACCGACACCCTCACACCCTCACACCCTCACCCACTCCACCCACACTCCACCCGTAGGTGTAGGTATTTCCTCCTTTCTAGATCAGACTTGCACCCACAACTGTAAGTAAAATTAGAATAGAGATGCAAAAAAATTTATTGTAATGATGAAAAGTGATAATATATATTTTATTTTCTGGAAAATGTTCAGAATGTGAAATCGAGTTCGATATTCTTGAAATGTTTATGTGAATAAGATCGTAAATTTCGAATTTTTGAAGAAAATTGAAAATCATTGTCAAATTCGTATGAATATTCCTGGAATATTCTGTTCTGTTCTCTAGAAGTTATTTTTCATTTGACAGTTTAAGTTACAGTCGGCATAACACGTGTAGTTGTTTGACGAATACGTGTTTTGAATACATTAAAAAGTTCTCGATCGACATAGAATGTTGCTGATTTTTCAACGACTACCGTCAAAGACATGAAGATAATACCCATTGAATAGAATATGTCGATACGTGTAAAAATAAACATTGTCGTTGGTATTCCTCCTGATAGGTAAATTCCAAATAAAACCATTATATTGCGGAATACTTTTAAATCCCGATTTTGTTGTCGATGTCGTCCACTTCTTTGAAAAGCTTGAGCAGAACTACGTTTAACTCTATAGTAAACGTAGATATAAATAACAGCAATAAACGTGGTTGGTACACCATAATAGGCAACAAAAGTATAGAGAGTGTGTAAAGGATAAAGTCCACTGACCCAACATAGTGAATGCGGACGAAAAACTATATCTTGCGTTACAATCGCTGGTAAAGTCAGCAGAATCACTACGATCCATTGGATACAAATGAGAACGAAATGAACTTTGAAAGTGACGATCCATCGATATCTATTAATCAAAACAACGAAGAGTAAACGTGATATGGCTTGAATCAAATATGAATAGATGACGCCTGCAATGGTCATGTAGGAGAAAAAACCTCGCCATCGACATGTCATATCACTAGTATCCCATGGAACGAATAGAAGATAAATATAATGATTGGATTGAGTGATACAAAAGAAAACCGACCAAACACAAGTATTTCCGATTAATAGATGAGTAGCTGTATGCAATGACCGATTGAGCACTAACAATCCTAAGATGAGACTAGAGATGAGAACACTCAGAACAGCAAAACCGACTGAGATAGGAATAATGACAGAATAATTGGTATTATCATCCGACAGAAGTGATGTTGTAACGATTGACGAGTTCATTTCTTTCGCTGACGATAAAAAAAAATACCCGTGAGATGCTACGTTCTTATCCTTGACTGTGTTTCTCTGGTCTTGTAATGTCACGTTTCTGTTTGAAGAATCACAATATGTCTGTAAAGTCTGATCCAACTGCTTCAATCTATAAATGTAAACGAAATGAGTATTTTCATTCGATAACAAGAAGAAAAATTCTTGCCGAAAAATCACATTTTGTTCATAATCATCGATGAAACTCAATGCGTCACTTAAGCGAAGAGTCGTGATTTGATAAATTTTTTCTATTTACCTAAATTTTCACTATTTGAAGAATTACGTACACTTTCAGTTTGATTGTTTCAGAGATCTGAACAAAAAAAAACAAAGATTTGCACTACAGATTGAATGATACTTTTATCAAGAACGAAGAAAAGAATATGTTAAGTCTAACAATGATAAGAAAGTCATTAGTCATTGACACGAACTGCTTTTTGTCTAAATCAATTGAATAGAAAGTTTTTCAATATATATATATTCAATTGTAGGATCCATTAGTTCATTCATTTGTAGACTAATACTTACATCGTTTTTTCTGTCTTTTCGATACTCCAAAGAGACACAATAACAGCTAAAATAGCGTTTAAACAAAAATATATTTTTTTTCGTATAATTTCACTAACTAGATCAATGATTCCAGCTCCCTAACTCGTGTGTTTCCGGCAGGTTGCTAGTGGAAAGACGTCATTTCCGGCTGCAAAACTTGGGAAAATGGCAGAAACTTGAAAACAGGAATTTGGTGATCGGATTCCTCTAGGTTCGATTGTAACCAACCGTAACTGAGCAGAACTGGTCATCGGATTCAATCGCTAACCTTTTTTCCACTGACTTTTTTAAAATGATAGATGTGGCTATGTTACTTGAAGAAAACCTATAGTTATTCTTAGGAGAAGATTGTCTTCTCAGATTATCTAATTTTTTCTATCTATTCTCTCGAAAATGAAATTCTTCAAATATTAGGTTCCTGATTCATTGAATGTCATTTACAATACATAGATGCATAACAGTAAAAACAATGAATATTTTTTAGTTAGAAGATTTAATGTCTATTCTTTTTATAATGAGCAACTTAAATTTTATATTTAAGATAATTGACAAACTAGATTTTTGGATGAATATATTTTTAAATATTACGATTAGCATAAAGATTGACTAGAAAAAAACAGAAAAACAGTAATCATTTTACAAGTTTCTAATACTCAAAAAACTACAAATCTAATTGCAATTACTAACAAATGTTCTACTCGATTCGGAAAATTAAATTTAAATCTTTCTTTGAATCAGTTCATAGTATCAAAATTTTAAGTGAATTTAATCGAAAACAACAACGATATTCTATGTAAAATGAGAATTATTGCAAGCTTCGAACCTTTTATCGTTGCAGTTTTCTGTAGTTTATTCATCTATCAAAGATTTAAAATTAAAATTATTTTTATAGTTAGTTGAAACTGTAAATGTTTTAAACGGCTCATCCTATAAGCATATTTGTAGCGAATTTTCTTAATTAAACACTTTAACTGAAGAACAATTATTGGAATATTACTAATCTAATTCTTGACGGGTGATTCTGATGTTTATTTTTTCGTCTATCTTACATATAGTGATCACTGTAACTTGATCGGTATTAGAACTTTTCAAAACAAAAACTCACCATTACTAATGATATACTAAGTGTCTTATTCTTTCTCTCATTTTGAAAGATTTTCTTCAGTAAAGACATTTATCTGAGTTGCGTGTGTTTATTCTCATACATACAGTAAAGATATGTATTACTTATACTGAATCGTACATTGATTCTAACTATGAGCTAAAAAACTTAAGTCAATATCTAACATAGGCAACTATTCTTAAAACAGTAGTGTCAAATCTGCAAGTTGAATTCAATCACTAATGAAGGCATATTTCAGATATTCAACTATTCAAGAATTGAATAGTTGACATCAAGTATCAATTATTCAGTAATTGAATTCAACTATCAGATTTGACACGTATGGGTTATGTGTCAAACTTGAAAATTGTATTCAACTATTCAATTATTGAATAATTGAATACTTGATGTCAACTATTCAATAATTAAATAGTTAAATATTTGAAATAAGTATTCAATAATTGAATTCAACTTTCAGATGTGACACTAATGAACAAATCATAGATATATTTTTAAAAATTTTCAATGAAAAATTTATTTATATTTTTTGTCCATATAATTGAATACCTTTGATCGATTGTTTTCTTAATAGAATAATAGAAAAATAAATACAGAAATGTGACAATGTTCTTAAGCGAAATATTCTTATCATCAACTTGTTTAACATTTATAGGTAAAATGGCAGATATGTCTGTTCTATTCTAAACATTGTAAATAATGTAAATTTTTTTCTTCAAGATTTGAAAATAAAATTTTTAATTCAAAAAAAAATTGTCTCTATGAAAATACTTGAGATGAGAAGAGAGACGTTTTCTGTATTTCAATATGATATTCTATCGAATATTATAAATTTAGTTACTCATCAAACACTTGTAAGCAGCATGCAAAAATGCGTCGTTCCAAGAGATTTCTTGTAAATTTTTCAAATATTTTAAGTTTTCATTTACAAAGCATTGTTAATTACTTTGTTAGCTAGAAGAATATTCTGTAATAATTACAGATTTTGTTTAAAAAATTTCTACAATGATTCACTTTCTTATTCTGATTTAACGATTTATACAAAAACATGTAGTTTTAAAAACAATTATTCTAGATTTTTGATTTTAATAATTATGAATACTCTCTTTAAAAAACAAACAAACATACTATTCATGTTCCTTCAGAATTGTTTGTCATATCTATAGCAGAAATGAATAATTATCATTTTCTTCAAAATAAATCATTCATACAATAGATATAAATACATGTATTGCTTTATTTTCTCCTTGATGGTCTGTTTACCTATTACATGTACTCCATTAGAACCTCGATAATTAAGATCTGGATTAGTAATAGATGTCATTGTTGTTTTATCTGTTGACATTGGCAATGTTTTTTTATATCAATAATCGAATGTTTTATTGGGGAACGGACAGTATTTGATACTGCTTTGAATAACTTACCTTTTGTAGCCTAATAATGATTTCTTATTAGATAGTCATCTATGAGTTTTTTGTTGATGATGAACGAGAATGAATTGTTGATGGAATAGATTTTGCATCTGTAGTAAGAATCGTTGATAGATCTTGCTCGACAAAAGAACAACTATATGCCGATAGAAAAAAAGAAAATGTTAATGTTTGACATTTTCTTATCATTTAGGAGAAACATATTGAACTCTTCGGGCGTGCAAACTCAATAAACATTGTGTTCTGTGTGAATTTAGGGTAGATGTTGATGTGGGAGTATTGATGTGGAAGTGAGCATCAACGAGTAGATTGCTCACACTCACACCATTCGTCAGCATTATTATTTACTACAAACGATGATAATACACTTATGTCTACATTATTAAAAGTCTTTAACATACGATACTAGTTTCTAAATAATTGATTATTAATTTCGTCTGCTTTTCTTCATCTCGTAGCATCTGCTACATAATAATACTTATTTACATATTTTTTTTTACAGAAAAAAAAACGACATCAAAACAAATGCTTCTTTCTTTCCTGGACTCAAAATATCTTTTTTCTTTCGATTGGCTACTGCTGGCATTTGCTTGCCTACAAATCACTTTATTAATTTTCTTCTCAGTTTGAGAAAAACAAAGGCTGTATTATGTAAACATCACGTTTGTTGGTATCAAAAGTGGTTTTTTTCTCCAGCAAATTATCGAATATTTCTTCTATTATGAGTTTCTTGGAAAAGTTCAACCTATTTTCATATTATATAAGTCCATACAAATTGTATTCTGATTTACAGAGAATTTTATTGAAGCGACATGCCTAAACAACAATTTTATCATCAATTATCTAGTCAAGAAGCTCAATTTCGTTTTGTCAATAATTGTCATCCCAAATTTTCTAGAATATTTGAAACAAAATATCATCATCTCTTTTCATTAGTAAAACGCCTAAGACATAAATACAATGGATGGTATGAATATATGGGACGAGAATTGTTAGACTATGCAGACAAATATTTAAATATCGAAAGAGTTGTTCAAAATCAAATTTCTCACGAAAAACAAAATTATTTATCAATCAAAAACAAGAACGAATAGATATACAATTTAATTTCTAGTCCATCGATGAACGAATTTCAATCAATTTTGAACCAAGTTGTCCTGATCTCCAATAGATGTAATTTATAATTCGACGTCTGATCGTTTATTCTTGATTGTAAAAGAATGAAATGTCGATTATGTGTTATATCGACTCAAGACTTTTGTTTATTTCATAAGTTTTGATTATTGTTTAAATTATCTAGCACAACGGAAAATCTTGTTTTAGTTTATTTTGAAATCACAGTGAGCTCTGAAAAAAAATGACTCAATGGTTTCAAACCGATATTCAGCCTAGTCAACAAGGGTATGGGTGTGAGTGTGGATATCATTCTTTTCCTCACATTCACATCCACATCCACCTAAATCCTGCACCCATGTCCTCTATTTTTGTCTTATTTAACTATGATAATATGATGGCTAATTGATTTTACTTTATCATACTAATTGAATAACGACTATTTGCATTGAATTGAGAGAATTTCAACAGAAGGTAACGTTCAATAATATATTCAATAAAAGAAAGATAAATTAAATTTTAAATAAATATTAGAAGATAATGAAAAATATCTATGAATATTAACAAAAGATTCGTCGTTTGATATGTTAAGATCAAAAGAAGTTAATTGACATTTTAGAAAAAAAAGTTTACGCCCAAGTTCTTTAAGCATCAACATCAACTTGAATTCTATCAAATAGATCGAATCTAAATATCTCAATTTCGTCTATATATATTCTTTAAGATTTTATCCAATCGAAAGGGTGTGGAGTGTGGGTGTCGATCCTAGCTTCAAGAAGACCTTCACATCCAGCACACACCCATACCCACACCTCCACCCAGACATCCTTAGCAACGCTGATTGACCGTCACAGAGGGTGACAAACATCACTACGGGACCATTACAGACCGTATTTTACAATCCAAGCAGCTTCATCGTGTTTCACATTTTAATCCCGCAGAGATTGCGTTAACAACTTTTTTAGATGGATATATAAACTATTTCAATTGAGATTGCTCAATTACTTGGTTAATCGATTTTTACCAATTTTACTTTGTAAAATCGACTTTAATCTGATTTTTAGGCTTGTTTTTTTAGACGGGGGTACGTAGGAAAGAAACCGATTTAAATCGATTAAAATTGATTTTTCAAAATCTAATCGATTAACATGATTATATGCAGCAAAAGAATTGGTTAAAATTGATTACTGGGAAATAAATCGATTAAAATCTTATTTTTTCTGATTCTTTTTTACATGGGTAATCAATGGTCTACAAACTAGATATATTCTATGTTTGTTATGAGATGCTCTAACATTAATGAATAGATAACTATCATCTCCTACTGAGTAATATAAAGCATCAATCTTTCCATTAAGAAATGTTCTTTCTATTAATACTGATGTTTCGATGAGATAATATTAAACATGTTCACCTACAGCATTAACACCTTTGGTTCCACTTTCAGGCGCATGAGCTGAACTATTTTCTTGGCCTTACGACATTACTTACTAGTTTGATACTAAAAGAAGATTATATATTTTATATTAATGCTTTATTTTCTGACTCATTTTACTATTTTCCTTCGACTGATTGTCGATGAGATAATTGAGTGCAGATTCAAAAACAGAACGAAGAGAAGGAGAGTACACAAAGAAGAATATTTTTTCTTTCTTTCTCACATAGTTCTGTCCATGTACACATGTGAAGAGAACAGTAGAAAGAAAAAGAAGGAATACGAATTACTAAAGCAAAAAATGTATATGATATAAAAAAATATTCTACTCGTCATATTCTACCGATGAGAATACAGATATTGATCGTTGGATAATAGTTGAATAGATCAAGCTGATTTTTAAAAAGGAAAGTAGCTCAGTAACCTTATATTTTACATTGATTAACCACGAATTTCAAAGAACGAAGAGAATTGTCGGAGATATTTCATTCGTTAGTTTGAGATTCAGATAATTCTATATATCACTGAAAGTGACATGAATGAGCAATGTAAAGAATCTAGATGATCTGAATTAGTTTTGACCTTAGTCTCGAAAGATTTCCAAGTATGACTGTGTGAACTGATAGTTTTATGAATTATTCAACAACATCAGTTGATATCCTCAGAATGGTGCTAAAAATGTATGCTCAAGACGAATTGTTACATCTGTCTGATTCGTGAGAACGCGTTTCTCGTAATAATTCTTAGAGCAACACTTCTCTACCACGTTCATAGATCTATCCGCATGTATTCGAAGATCACTGACTAACTATGTGTTCATCAATCAACACCGTTAAATAATACGTGAAACTATGGATTTAGCAAAATTTCTCTCTCGAATCGTGACAGTTGTAGATTCCTCTGCACAATATCTCCAGCGCTCATGCTTTCTGTATTTTTTTTACAAGCAGTATCGACTGTTTTTTTTTTCAGTAGATTTATATCACTGAGAGCAACTCATCGAGCTCGATAGAGGAGAAGGAGAACTTGGTGACCATCTCTCCTAAGAGTGATGTCATATCCATAATTTTCTCTCATAATGCATGATGATAGATACATCAATCAAGTTTCTTATGCTGGATTTTTATC